TTTATTTATTTATTTATTTATTTATTTATTTATTTATTTATTTATTTTTTTGTTTGTTTGTTTGTTATTGGATTATTGCAGATTTGTACCATTTAAAAGTGACCTAGATTTGTACATTTTCTTCAGTCACATGTTCTTTTAATAAAATAAAATAAAAATGTAATCCAATCTTGATCTATGTGTATTTCCTCTTCAGGTCAATGAGAAACATTTTGAGAATCCTTGTTTGTGTCTCTTTTCAGATCATTACAAATGTGATAAACTGTAATGTGAAAACCATGGTGAAGGTAAGAGTGTGTCTGTGGTGTTTCACTCTTCAAATGTTCATTCATATAATTTCTAATTAATACACATGCCTGGAATTTTCTTGGGCCGTAGGTGTAAGAAGATCTGAAGGCATTGTTAGAGCAGGTGCAAAATAAACCCTTCCTTTTCTGTTTTCTCCAGATGTGCAAAATCATCCTCCCAGGCATGGAGAACAGGTTTCCTTCCCATGTTTTCTTCATTAGATGTAATGTTAAATGAAATCAAATCAAAATAACCAGACTAATAATGAGTTTCCTGCCACAAATATGAGAAGAAAGACATTGTCTTCCTCCATCTTTTCAGGAGAAAAGGGGTGATTGTAAATGTCTCTTCTGGAATCGCTTCTATTCCATTTCCCCTGTATACTCTTTATGCCGCATCAAAGGTAAAATCTGATCAGATCAGAGTATATTTATATGCAGCTTTAATTCTTTTTAAGATTTTTTTTCTTCAAATTGTTTCCCTGGAGGTGTTTGTGGAGAGAGTTTCTCAAGGTCTGCAAGCAGAATATAAGCATAGAGGGATTCTTATACAGGTATTTATATTGAAATAACTCCACTTATAATATCACAAGAGTAGACGTCAAAAACTGTTTAATCCAAAGATTTTATTCCAATTATTCTTTCAGGCAGTGGCTCCATTTGGAGTTTCCACTCGAATGGCAGGTTACCAGAAAACTAACTTTGTGACTCTGTCACCGGAAGACTTTGTAAAAAGTTCCCTGCTGTACCTCCGTGCCGGTGACAAAACACATGGCAGTGTGTGTCACACAGTTCTGGTAAAAGCAAGTGCCTCACTACACTATTGAACAATGCCAGTTAGCATGACGTGAGACTGACCCGTGCCTCTGGTGTTCCTGTTTTTGTGAGTACAGGGCTGGCTACTGCAGTCTATCCCACTCAAGCTTCTCCATGCAGAGACTGTGCTGCAAAGGCTACAAGACTATGTCAAGAATAAATTAGGACAAAATGAATCACTATCTACATCAAGAGCCATCTTTGAAAACAGCCCAAAGAAGTAGGACATAAAAACAACTGCATTGTGAAGACGTTTGGTTCACTGTGAATACATTTAGAATCATGGAACATAGAAATGTATATTACTATTGTCGTTGTGCCCGTCTAATTATGTATGCTAGAGTACTAACTGCCTGAAGCATTTAAAGCATTGTTATAGCTGATAACAATTTCCAGGAAAGCAGCTTTATCATTTTTTTCTTCGTTGTTTTAATATCGAAATAAACAGGCGCTCGAATAATTTAGACCTCTGCATGGTACCAAATATACAGTGAAGGAATGTTCAAAACTATTCATACTGCACATTATTGTCCCTGCTTTCCCTCAATCAATCAGCTAAGTTTTGTTTGTGAAAGTGACTGAATCTTAGCTTTTTGTTACTTTTTTTATTTGTGTGTCACCTGTTGAATATCTAATTCCCCACGCAATAAGGAATTGTGGAAAAATAAGTGCTGGTGTACTTACTTTTTTTATTGATAAGTGAACTGTTCTGTCAATCACACGGACAAACGAAAATAAAAATACTGAAAAACCTTACCACAACACCACTAATGATACCCGAACCACACAGATATCGCTCAGACATCAGTTCTTAAATGCCATACACTATTGTATGTATTGATATCATTTTCATGTTATTTAACTAATTTCCAGACAAAGGGAATTTAGAAGTTTTTGTTTGGAGAAACAGAAGTCCATCTGATGCTATTTAAAAGTGTGCACTCGTTTCCCTCTTCCATTCAGTCTTGGTGTGGAGCATGTGTCATAGTTTGTCTGGAGCCTCATTTGCTGAACCGAAACAACCATTTTCTTCTGTCAACTCACTCTTTGTAGTATGTAGGTTTTAAAGTTACGCAATTGTAACTCTCATGAGCATGTTTTAGTCTAATTTTGGATAGAGGAGACATTTGATCGTGTTGATCTAGGTCATCAATCGTATTCACATAAGCAAGATGTTACGTGGCTGATGAGCTTCTGCCTGGTTGCTCATAAAAGATCCAACATGGCTTTGATGGCCTGCCGCAAACAGGATGATGTACAGCGTTGTCTACACAAACATTTACAGAGGATTCACAGAATCATTTGTACTGCAGCTGTCTGACCCAGAAGAGTCCCCGATCACCGGGGGACCAGCGTTTCTAGCCATCCATGATGAATGATCCTCCCCCATGAGATAGTGCAGGGGATAGGAGAAGAGAAGGAGACAGAATGAGGAATGGACGGTCATCATGACCCCGAGTGTAGATGATTCATTCATCTTAAAAAGCCAAAGAATAACTTTTCCAAATATTTGATTTATCACACAATTGATGCGCTGGGGCACTTTTGAATTTCAGTGAAGAAGCACATAGGAGCCAGACATAAAAGGAAGAAAAGCTAAATTGATAAATCATGAAATTCTAGAAGGTTTAGTGGGACCATAGTCAAAATAGGAATCCAAATAAACAAATATGCTACCTATGTTCTACACATCTGCCATCAGTGCAAGGATTTGAATCCGGTGTGTTGAAGCATATTCTAAAAACAGGCAAGTACAGTTAATCATGACATTAAAATGATATATGGTGTGGGGACGAAACAGTGGCTACTAATGATCACAAGAGTACCTCGAAGAGGAAAAACTGTTGTATGGTCACACTGTAACAAGAGTGAAAGTGTATGTTCTACGATTACTTTTTCTTATGCTGATGGTGAGAAGTAGTATATGAAGTTACCTTGTGTATACTGTTGGGTCTGCATGTAACCACAACTACCTGAATATGAAATTACATGTGTGCTCTTTTGCTTCTTTTAATTTGAAAAAAAATTAATTTGATTCTTTCATGAATCAAATAAAAAGTGACCCCCCAAAAAGGTGACACATTTATTGTTAAAGTAGCTTTCTTCTCATGAAGAGTTCTTCAATAAAAATCTTGGTAATGTCTGTTTCTTGGCTCGACATTGAACCATGCCGTGTAAAAGCGTGAACAAAGGATCGATATGGCCACATTGTTCGAAGGACTTGTTGGAGGTAAAAAATGCAGTCAAGGGAGTAATTGGATCGTATAATTTTAGTGAAGAATCTATTTAAAATGTTCACAGGAGAAAGCAATCAAATTTCAATTTTTTATTTTCCAGTGTACCACCTGCCAAAACTGCATGATACTGAAGCATCTGTAATGACTCAGTTTTATCCAATGCTAAAATTATATCAAATGCATGCTAAATATGTTTATTGAATTTTAGACTGTGGCATTACGTTTGTTTCTTGGCGCTGTACTAGAAATGATCGAATAAGTATCACATTCAGTTTCAAAGATTTTTCAGATCAAAGAACCCCCGACACCCTGAAACTTTGAAAGGTCAAATTGAATGTACTTTGCAAGTCTATGCTAACACTGATGTCATATTCTTCCATTCAAAGTTCTTTAGTGGATATTTGCTTTTTGAAGTGCATTTGTGTTAATGTAATGTTCAGTGTGGCCACTAGAGGGCACACTATGCAAAGGTTTCACCAGGGGGCTTATTTGTAAAAGCAAAAGCATATTTTGTTCAAGGAGGTTGTGAAACATGTACTTGTGTACCCTTTTCAGAGCTATAGAGCACTGTGTGTTACTTCTGCACTGACATGAAAAGTGATTTGTTTAGCTGTGTATGTTGCTTAACACCAGGGACTTTCCTCACCCTAGGTAGTCTTTAATTTACTGGTTATTATTGCTCCTTTTAATGTGCATTTTCAAAGGCTTTTTCAGATCAAAAGATCTGGCTGATAGGTGATATTTCTTCTGCCATAATAACAGGTCACAGGTAGCCAAGATAGTTCACTTCCTTTTTGTCGACCGTCAGGGTGGCTAAGTTTTTCCCCTACACTTGCAGTGTAATGGATTTACCATCAATGGGATCATATTTTAGTAAAAAATATTAGGTAAGAGCAGCTTCAGCAGGTCTAAAGCCTTTGGCAGATGAAAGATTCATTGCAGAAGGAGTAAAATAAAGTGTCTGTTTTCATTTCAGAGGATGAGCATGGCTTGCATGGGTGGTCAGAGCTCAGAGGATGCTTTCTTCATGTAGATTGGGAGTGTTGTACATGCTTGTGTGCATGTATGTGTGTATGTGTACTTGCTTCTCTGTATGCAGAAGATCCAAGAACAAAAGGTTTGTTGTCTTGTGGGGTCCAGAATGTTTTGTGAGACCCATATGGTGGCACTCAAATGCTCCAAAAGGCTTAAAATTGGTTAAATTTAAAGTAATGGTGGACATTTGGGTTATGTATCCAACTATGATGGTCAGACTCCGGGTAAAGAGCTGGAGAATATGTAGCACTGTGTGAGGGGGACAGAAAAGGAGCGAGGTGTTGCTTTGGAGGATGCTCCTTCTTTGACTTATCCCACTGCCATGGACTCTGCTTGTGTGTTGATTCAGTAAACAGAAGGGTCCACAGATGATCCAAGACAAGCACACGGCCACTGCAGCCCACCCGGGAGCCAGGGTCAAGATGGCTAACCTTTCTGACACACACACAATTACACACTGAACTCACCACGCAAGAAATGTTCCAGGTTGTCGGAAGAGTTTAAGCACAGAATGGTTCCTTTGTACCTGATCAAGCCTAAAATGTTGCTGAAGGTAGCCAGATCCTCTCACAATGGAAAGTCATTACGATACTATAAAGTCATTTTGTGAAATGACACAACTATTTTTGTGAATGTGCTGTGTGAGTCAGTTTGACACGCAAGTGTAAATAGTTGACTGATTATACAAGCTGGAATATTTCTGTTACTTGATTACCGTCTTTTCTCTTGAACTCCATTGTTGAGCATATGAACATTCACTCTCGCAAACTGTAATTATCCCTCATAGAAGTAGAAACACATACCAATTATGTCCCATCTTGCAGGAGAGTCTTTGAAACTCAAGAGGATCATTTTGATCAGTCAGCCTTTTCTAAAAGAGCACGCTGTCAGAGATGAACTGGACTATCTGCAAAGAAAAGTAAACAAGATGAAGGAAGAAAGAGAACAAAAAACCTTGAATTTTTTAAAGATGGATTAATCGAAAAGGAAAAGGCCAATGGCTTCCCTGATGGCCAAGCGTTCACATATGGCCGAGCTTTGCTTGCACAGCCTCACTTCAAGGCTAAGGGCCCGGCAAACGTAAACAGTGGAGAGGCTGCAGCTGGAGCAGGGAGGCAGCCACTTGCTTACCGAGATCTCTCTATCCTAAACAACGGATCAAGTGACGCACAGTCCTTTGGCAGGGCAACAGAGATCCAGGCGGCTCAGAAAAGCCTTTCTTCCGTACGTTTATGCCTTTTCTTTTCTCAATATTTACTCCATGGGAAAAACACAATTTTCCACTCCTTTTGTCCAAAACGAGCAAAACAGTAGACCTCCCTCTGTTCCTGTGTCCTCCATCATGAATACAGAGACAAAGAAGGATGGTGTCTTTTTGTGCAAGATTTTCATATGAGACACTATTTTCAGCTTCTGCACAGCTCAGATCAAATAAGTATCGGAGCTCCAAACAGATGGTGGGAATGAACACTTGATCTTTGTACAGAATCTGCTCCAGTGGATATCATAGCTATTCCCAAACATAGCCGTTTTGCAGCGGTGCCCTGGAGAAGGAAACAAAGTGAGGATTAGTCTCTCTTATCCTGTGAGTCAGTGCATTAGAAACTTGGTTTGTAAAAGTGTGTGTGCATCTGTGTTATATCTCTTTTATGATGGGGCACAATGGGGAACGGAAGGGCCCAGGAGCCAGTGAATTAACCCAAATTACAGCTAACAGTTGCCTGGGTAACTGGAGAGGAATGAGGGGCAAATGGTGTGTAATTTCCTAATGAAGGGGGGAATTTAGAGACCTCTTCTGACTGTTACCGTAACAACAGGAAAACTCTGTACCACTTCAATGCAGTTGTTTGCTTGCTGAGTCACCAAAAGATTTTTCAGATTGGCCTGAGATACAAATTGCAAAGGTTTTTTTCCCACATTCATGTGAACGATGAAAGATAGGGTCTTTAAAATTCCTTTACAGGTTTGTTTTTAGTTTAGTCTCGCCAAGAAAAAAAATGATGTATTCACTCTTCAGAAGCTTTACTAATATCTAAATCGTCTCCTTTCTATCAGTAAAGAAGCTTCTTAAAAATCTGCATGTTAGAATTAAAATCTGCATGCACAAAGAGTTCAGAAAATCTGACTTTTTGACTCTTTGATGCCAAATATTCCAATGAAGTGGGATTTTAAATATGTAAACCAACAAGAGAGCATGCAAGTTGCTGTTACATCCATTTTTTTTGCAAATAACTTTAAATTCTGTGGAAAAAAACACGGCACAATAAGGAACATGAGTGGCTGATCCCAGCCATACATATAACACACATTTGTGTTAACCAAAGGAAGAGCGCAAGGTACGGAAAAAAAGAAAGTAAAAATGGTTACCTTGGGAACTTTATTTACTTCACGGTCACCACTGACATTTACAGTTTGTTTATTTTACCAAAAATGTTTCATGTCCTGGAGAGCAACTCTGTTTTATGCTTCTTGACATGCGCTTGTTTCTAATCAGTGACAGTTTGCAGACCTTCATTGCAGAGTGAACATATGGAAACCTGAACCAAACATAACTGGGGGGGGGTCAACACGGGTCAACTCTCATTCACAGCTTTTAACAAAATAAATCAAACTAGATGTCACAGCCTGACGTCTGCAAATAAACCCTCATGTCCGGGACGTCTCTTTGCCACTCTGCATGGCTGTCCAGCGTTCAAAAGATTCACAGGCACTCACCGCGTAGAGACAGGAAGTCTAAACAGACTTCTCTCCTTGCTCTTGACAGAAGACACTCGGATAGGAAGGGAAAATTGGACCACGTAAACATAAAGCCACATGCAATCCTAAAACTAATCTCGGACACAGTCCTTTCTCACTCCTGGTTGTTGAACGTCTCAGTTAAGGGATGGTCGAATCCTCCAGGCCACAGAGCGTTGTTTTCCACTGAGCCATATCAACTCACCTGCATAGGCCTCTAACTGCTGCCAGTCATCTGCCAAGCCCTTCTCCTGTCAGGTTAGGACTACGACTATGAAAAAAAAAAAATCAAGATAGGGATCTGCAAATCTGTTGAGAGAACAGAGAACAAGTGGTTTCGGGTCTTGGGAAAGAATGGGCCTTTTTTTTTAAAAACTCTTGTGGGTCTGATCTGAACAGGTGTGACGGATGCGTGGCCTCAGCACACTAGCGTCTGCAGACATGATCTACCACCCAGAAGCACGCACACGCAGGCTGTTTACCAACCCGCGCGACTTGCTGAGGCACGCCGTTCCTTTCTCTTGTTTATTGATCGCTCTTAGCGCTTTCTCATTTCCTCCAACCAAAACACGCCACTTAACACCGCTCAGCTCCGTTTCGGCTTCCACTTGCTTCAGCTGAAAGAGCTCAAATGCACGAATGGGAAGCTCCATTTTTATTTCAAATAACAGCAAAGGAAAAATGTTTGAGCAATTAAAAAAGTATCATCCTTTCAAAAGGTCAGAAAAGGGTTTGAGCCTTATTCTTACTAAGACAGAAAGTGTATGTGAGGGAGTCAATACTATTTGCAATACCTTCTCTACCTGATCCACAAAGTTTCCAAGTGCTTATTGTTATTTGGCTAACAGCACAGCAGCCTTCACGCTGAGGGGCCTTTCAGGCACAGCCGAGCAGAGCCCCAGACTGCTCAGATTACAGTGAAGAGGTCTGTGGGGGACGCACACCATGTCTGCTCTATGCGTGCTCTCCCTTTGAGTGGGAAGCAGCGAGGGGCGCAGAGTGATAGAGCCATAGCATTTAGCAGCTTTAAGTGATATCTCAATGGGTTACCAACCATTTGAGTTGCAAATGCTGATCAGACAACCATGAGGATGCATTCACGTTTAAAAAAAATGTAAGCACAGTTTGGACACAACATCTGAGCTGGTTTTCAATTATATGAATTTCATTTTTTTTGTGATGCAAATTATTACTCAACTAAATTGGAGACATCCTGTTTTTTTTACCATTAGATCAATATAAGTATAAGATCCAATTACCACAAAGACAAAGAAAGAAAAAGAAAAAAAAATGCAAAGAAACATTTTATGTAAATTTTTTCAGAGTTGTACTGAATTCAAGATGAACTGATCAAATGAATGTTTTCAATACTGTAACTAATTCAACAGATTTGCACTAGATTTTTCATGTTTTTGGAATTAGGCCAGAATTTCTAATTGAATAATTAGTGGATCTGATCATTTTCCTTTCTCATAATTTCCTGTGCTGGAAGAGGGAGTAGCAAAGGCAACAAAAGACTGCCACCTTTGTAAGAGCTGATCTCTGAGAGGTAAACACCAGAAAATGATAATGAATAAATAATAAAAGTTTTTATTGTCACTGTTTCACAGAATTCAAAATCCAAAACCAGATATCAATGTCCCTACAGATAGGTTGTTCAAAGAGGCGTGCAGGGGCACATCCACACCAATCATGGATTGGTTAGCAAGAAAAGTTCAACAGTTAAATCTGAGATTTCCAGTGAGGGCTGAACAGAATTCCCCTTGGTTCAGGCTGGGAGACCATGTGATTTACACTTACATTCTGAGGGCACTGCATCTAAACCAATGCAAAATACAAATAAATAACAAAATGTAGAAGTCTATTAAAAAGAGTAAACCCTCTAGTTGTAAAAAAAAAAAAAAATCTTTTGCCTTTAGGAAAAAAAATGAATATGCAAGGGAGCATATCGTGGACAAGCAAGGATTTAAAAAGTGGTCTTCCCGCTAATTCTTTGAGTAACATTTTCATACTGAGTGAACACTCAATATTCACTAAAATATTTTTTTCAATTGAAACAATTATTGTGTATTTTCTTTTCAATTTCCTTTAGGATTGATGATTCTAAAAAGAAATAACAATCCACTAAAAGGCCCCGTCTGCATCTTTCTTCCACAGGAACTTGTCATTCGTTTTCCAGAGACTCTTGCTCTGACTGTGTCCAGACATTTTTCTAGCTGCAATGTTTGTGTTGATGCAGATTCTCTGCACTTCTTCTGGGTCTGTTAATCTGTTGATACTCTCCTCATTACCCTCATTTAGGATGTCCCAGATGTCTTTGCGGGAGCCTTTAATTGCCTGTGCTGGAGCACTGACCTGGTGCGGGGCTTCCCTATGTAAGCTTGAGCCAGAATCACAAGGTTCTCTGGATGATGATGATGATGGCGGGGCTGTTTCCGGGTGGCTCCTCTGTTGTCCACTCTTGGGCTTTGGTTTTTGTAGTTCATCTAGAATCGATGTATCTCCTATGAGCTCTGTTAAGAAGCAGGGGTTACTGGAGGTAGCGGGCAGTGGAGAATTCTCCCTCTGCCCGTGCCAGCTTTCAAGAGCTCTCACAGAAGGTTTCTGCTCCCGGTCCCGTCCTTGTGCTGTGGGTTTGGACAACGTGACGGAGCTGCAATGGCTGAAGGCAGAAGAAGAAGGGGTATCTCTGTCTGTGCGGTTCAGGAAAGCAGCAGCCTCCCCAGACCCCAGACCACTGCTGCTGGCCGGATTCACGCCAAGACCACCACCAGCTCTGTAGGCTCCAGAACCAGAAACACTACCACTCTTTGTCCTCCTGCGTCCTCTGGCCTGGCCGACCGTCTCCTCCTGCTCCTCTGACTCAGAGTCTGGAACATCACGGAGAGGATCCAGCACATTCTTTTCTGATATCGTTTTGGGAGGTTCAATAACACCATTTTGCGAGATGCCAGATGTAATTTGTGGCACAGGAACATTATTCTGGGGTGCTTCACATTTGGCTCTGGGCTCTGGACTCATCCTACTGAATTTCACTCTTTTCCTGGATTTCGAGGGGTTCTTTTGTTGATTTTCGTTTTCCGTTTGACGTTTTGTGGACGGTGAAGATGCGGCCGTTGCGGGGACGGGGGTTTGTGCAGAAAGAGGTAGAATGAAGTTTTCTGTGACAGTATTAGCCAGGTCAGGGTGATTCAGAGAGGTGTAATACTGCCGTAGCCACGCAAGTCGCTCAGTCGAGTTTCTTTTTAAAATCTCAACAGCAAACTGATGGACTGAGGAAAATTTGAATTTTTCTGCCATTTCCACCAGCTGTTGCCTGCAAAAACACACAGAGTAAGAAATAAGAAAGAAAGAATATATAGACTAAAACTCCTGCTAAAATCATGAGAATTTCACTAATGCCCGCACTTGCAAAGTGGGCTGAAGTCATAAATTTGACATTTGTAAGCATTCTGCATGATACTAAAGGGAAAGCAACAAACGCCACAAGAGCTATATTATTATTCAGATAAATTGCAGGCCTGTCAGGCCTAACCTAAGATGAATAGTTCTCCACATATTCAGGCTCATATGCAGACAGCGGGGCAGTCTGAGGTGTTTTTCCTGAGCTCCTGGGCAATCATTAAAACAGTGGTATAACCCGACTCAGGGACCGAAATACCTTAAAGTCAGTGGTGTTCCACCAGCATTGTGTTGGTGTTGTGGCTTTTAACTGGAAAAACAATAAATAAAAGTAACGGCAATAAAACCCGACATGCTCGTGGATTGAAACTATTAAACTGTTAGCTTAATTGAGGCGATATCAATATAACTAGTGTGTATTTTCACTCCCCGGTGAGCCTCTGGGCAGAGATACAGGCCTCCCCCCTCAGGGAGGGAGACCGACGCCATAAAGGTGTCTGTGTGTCAGTATATGAGGGCCGGAGGTGAGGCGGCCCGACAGAGTTGTGTATGAATATCATGCGTCTGTGAATGTGCAAAAGCTCATTTGAATGTGTGCGTATGCATCACTGTGGGTTTGGAGGTCCTAAGGCAATCATACTTGGTGAGTCCCAGGAGGGCTAAGGCTGTGAAGGAGAAAACTCCTGCACTGTTGGGCCTGATCATAAGCGGGTAATCTTTGGCACGATGCTGGGAAATACATGGAAGGGAAAGCTCAGAGGTGGTCTCATGCTAAAAACACACACACACACACACACCCACAATTATTAGGGCCCAGGTAGGGGCGCTCAACACTGTGTCTAAAGTGGGCTTTGGCTTAAATTCCAACACAGTCAGAAATTCCTCGTCTCTCCTTCCCTCTCTATTACTCAAGTTTGTCATCCTTCCTTTTTCTCCTTTTGTTGATTTTCCTGTTTTATTTCCATCTAATTTCTGTGCTTTCGTTGCAGTTTCCCTTTTCTTTCTACTCTGTTTTTATAATTCCAAATCTGTACACCTTAAATTGTGATCCATCAATTCATTAATTAAAATAATCTTCTTTATCTGTTTGCTGCAACTCACTACCTGCATATGGCTTTCGGAGTCTCTCCAATGATAATAGTGGTGTGCTCTTTGTGGTGCACGCTCTTCCTGGTGAAGATGGCCGGATGATCCACCTCTGGCCTCTGCATCTGGACTCGAGCAGGTTGAGGCTGACTGTTAGCCAGGGTTGCCGGAAGGCTCTGGTAAAGTCAAACAAAGATAGGTGTTATAGAATGAGCGACCATTTTATCGTTGAGAAACCTGTATCCTTCATGAACCAACAATTTACCAGATAAGTATAAATTGTCTGTCGCTGTTAATGTTACTGAGAGGGACCTATTAGCAAAAATCTTTTTTATTTTCATTAGAATCAAATCTGTTTCAAATACCTACACTGAAATGTTTTCTTTCCTTTTTTTTTTTCCAACACATGGCTTAGATTTTTTTGTGGACTCTGCCTTAGAATGACAGGCTGAGGCAGAGGGAACCTGCTGATGTGGCAAAATGATACCATTTGGAAAAATGTATTTCCAAAATATCTAATACAATCCTCCAAAATACTTCTGAGGAGAAGAAAGTAAACATGTGTGCTTTGTTTTGGCTAGGATCTTTTTTTTTAATCTGATCTGGCAAACACAACAGAAATAATAATGCATGTTTGAAAACTGGCTGGATCACACCAGTGTTACTGATACAGACCTCCTGTGTACCGAGCATGTTGTTGGCTGGGAGCTGCGAGTACATTTTACGTTCGAAGACGTCCCGCACAGCAGCTCTGCTGATCAGATCCTCTGCTTTGCTTCCTCCCACCACGCGCTGGTTAGAGTGTGTGTACACCACCTCCTGTACACCTCCTTCAAGTAATAATATACACATCATGAATGTTGGAATTAAGAGGACGAAAACTCTGTCATTACAATCTAGAGTCTGACCTAGCACGCGGTCAATGGCTCCATTCTTTTCCTTGGATGCTGCTGATCTCTGACTTTTCAGACCTGTAAATGAAACTCCTTTTGGTTCTCTTGCACGTCTCCCTGTTTTGCCAGCTGCTGGTGTTGTGTGTTCATCCTCTGAAGACGAAAAGGTCTCTATGTCCTCAGTGTATTTGGATCTTGCTTTGCCCCTCGCACTAGCTGTTTGCCTCTTTCTGGAGTGGTCCGATGCCCTTCGTGTGTCTCCTCCTCTGTTATTAGCGTTTAAATAATCTTTCTTGGAATGCGTTTCTGCCTCCAGGTCAAAATCCTCAGACTCGTCTGAGCAACCAAACTGAAGCACTTTGTCAACTCCTTTGGGCTCAATAGCTTTCCTTTCCTCTTTTGAAGAGTTTTGGTCACTCTCGTCATCCACTGAAATTTGAGGAACTACCCATGCCGCATTGTCTCCGTCTTTTAACAAAGGAGACTTTTCTTTATTACCCCTGTTTCCAGCACAGGAGGGGCCATTAGAGGTCTCCACCATCTTTGGATCCTCTTCAAAGGGGCTTCCATCAACCTCTGAACTACTGTCCACTTCTCCTAAGTCTGGACTCTCTTTGACCCTTTCAAGGAGTCTGGAGAATCTTTGCTGAAGGACACTCATTCGACCAGGACCCGTGGTATCTTTCCGTCTCCTGTCGCCATCATCCGTCTTTGGGTCTGAGGCCTTGCTTTTAAGACCCTGCGCCTCCTCGTCCGTTTCACTCCCACTGCTGAAGTCCAGCACACCTTTGGGAGTCTTTGCTGCATCTCTGTTCTTCTTGGCTGCTTCATTTTTTGGATTTGGGCCATCTGAAAGCGAATCTCCAGGTTCCTGAAATAAAACAGTAGCAACGAACACATAAAGAAACAGATGAAAAGCGGGACGAGTGGGTTTACTTTATGGAAGAGCAAAAAGATACACAGTTCTTTTCCAACAAAAAAATGATAATACATATCAATGTAACAGAAGCGCATAACTGTAATGATAAAGGAAAAAAAGACAAGACAAAGTTGTTTGATTGATCATTTGGCTGGTTGCAAAACAGAGATTCTGATTTCATAAAATGAGCAAAAATGCACTACTCTAAAATCTCCATTAGAACATGTAAAGGCACCCCAGTGTATTCAGTATTCCTGAAAGAATGTGAGTGGTCCCAGAGGAACATTATGACTTTCAGGGGGTAAAAAAAGAAAAGGATGGCGTACTTCATGGTACAGGCCTGGCTGGGAAAAGAATAAGAGGGCATCATTGTCTAAATAAAAAGCTGGGAAAAAGAAGACAGGTTTAAGTGTGGTCTACACTTCTTAAACTTCGATTGGATCAAATAAATAATTGCATCCGTCTACTGTCTCTGTCAGAAAATGGAGGTAAAAGATAAATTCAGTGTCTGAGGTAATTCACTCAGGACGAATAAAATGTCATATCTTAATCAGCTCTATTATAATATAAGTGTTACAGGACTGAAAACCAAAGTGAAAATTGCTCTAAGCAGTTTGTCATTTTACAATGGAAAAGCTTTGGTCTGCATAAATATAATTGAGTGAGTTGTTTCAACTGTCAGGAAGGCCTGAGTGAGGCACACCCTCTTTAACATGGGAATAAAAGGATAAAGGATAGGGGAAGGCATTGGGAAAGATGTGCAAAGATGCGACTGTGTTTGTGAAAACAGCAGGGTTACTCACGCCATCTTCCTTGATTTCCTCCTTCTCGTCATCCCGGCGTGTTCTTGTTGTCATCACACCAGCCTCCACTTGGCCTTCTCGCTGACAGGATAAGAGACACATTTATCAAAGCATAAACATTTAATTGAACAGTATCATCTGATTTCATCTTTAGGATGCGCTAGCTTTGTTTATTTAGAAACTAGTTATGATTCAGGTTTTGCAAGACCCTTCGGATTTTTGGAGGGAGGAGAAAATCAACAAAATAGAATTCCAGTGTCTATGTGTATAATGTATTCAGAGTAAGGTGTAAGGAAACCAGGATAAACTCCAAAGCAGCCACACTCAATCATAACAACACCCGTTGAATTTGTGACATCCAGAACAGTTGCTTTTGACAGGTCCGGGGAGAATGCAGCAACAAAGCACATCATCAATCAAACAATGAAAGACAAACAAGGTGTCTAACCTCTAGAATCGTGCGGGTGAGACATGTCCCCTGGGTCTGCAGCCTGAAAAGGTTTTTGATTCCAAACAGCTCCCCTTTATGATCACTATGCCCCTGCACTGCTTCAAAATACCGCCGAGAGCTCTCCTTGCCAACAACTGAGCACTGCAATTGCTGGTGAGAAAAAAAAACTTGTGACTAAATACATTTTAAACACAAAGCATGACTTCCCAATCTGTGCAACAGGAAAAAAAAGCACATTGTTTTTTAAGTACAAATACTAATTTTAAATGTGATTTGGTTTGGTTTTACTTTTGTGTTGACTAATCTCTTCTTTTGACACACATTAAGTGTTAGGCATAAAGAACACCTGGAAGCTTGTAAAATCATGTCTTTCAATCCTTGTTTGACAGAGGATTGTATATGAAACCCTGCAGGGGTCACATTCTGCCCTATTTTAAGGAGCTCAGCACAAAAAGGGCACTGAGGTTCTCTACATTTCTGATATACTCGACAGGATTAAAATGTCTCTGTTTCAACATTTGACTTCACTTTCTTGTATGTTTCTTAAAAAAGAAAAGTTAAAAGGATTTGAAAATGTATGCCTTGCATCTTTCTTTACAATTTACTCAGAGTTTGATCAATTTTTAGAGGAAGGGGTTTACTCCTGATACCGATTTTTTTTTTTTTTATTTTTTTATTTTTTTTTTTAAAGATTTTTTGGCTCTAGTGGCCTTTAATGACAGTAGGTTGACAGGAAAGGGGGCAGAGATAGAGAGGGGGAGACCTGCGGGAAAGGGCCGTGGGCCGGATTCGAACCCAGGCCGCCCGCTTACGAGCACAGGCTCTGTATATGGGCCGCCCGCTCTAGCCATTAGGCTACGGCTGCGGCCCCTGATACCGATTTTGAAAGCAAAGCAGTCTTCAAAACAAATCACAACTACACGACTGTCGGATACCTGTTTGTAAACTTGTCTGAGGTAGATGACCTCCTCCACAGTGCCCAGGGAAATCAGCCTAAGAACAGTGACATCCCTACACTGGCCGATACGATATGCCCTTCGGAAACATAAGCACACGGGAATCAAAAGCATTAAGCAATAACCAGAGAAATTCAACTTAATCGTCTTTATTCTGTTCAATTCTTACAACAGTTAGCAATTCCAATATTCTGTTAAACCTGTCAAGCAAGCAATAAAGCAGCCATTGTAATTTACACAAAGTCTCACTAAGAAAAAGCAAAAAAGCTCTAATCTAGGCCACTACCTACCTGTCGATGGCCTGAAGATCATTGGCTGGGTTCCAGGTAGGGTCAAACAGCACGACCACATTAGCACCAACAAAATTGAGACCAAGCCCACCCGCCCTAACAGAAGAAACGCTTAATTTTTAGATCTTCTTGAACTAAAACAAGAACTGAGAAAGAATTATGCGCCGTCTCAAAGTACTATTTAAAGAGACACAATTCCTCGTGTTGAACTAGAAACTACAGAATTCTGATTTGTTGTGTTGATTCAAACTAACATAGTAGAAACCAGGCAGAGGTTGACGTGGGAGGAGCTGTTGAAGTCTTTGACAATCTGGACTCTCTCTCTGGATTTTGTGGATCCATCCAACCTGTAGAAGTCCAGGCCCTCTGCCATGAGGTAGCTCTCCAGCACATCTAACAGCTAACAGGTTATATACACATTAGAAATTAACAAAAACAGAATTTAAAAACCTATTAAATAATGATATGAAAATTGTTATTTTTCCTGGATAGTATTAAGATACTATTCAAACAAATTATGGAACAATATCCTGTGGCTTGTATCTAGCAATTTAACTGTATATTTATACATATTCTATAGGGGTGATACTAAGCCTTGCCCTTTATTAACCCTTTTTCCTCAAAAAGCAAAAGATGGGTCAAGAAAATATGACCTCACAGCAGCCACAAATATTATCACACAGTATCGGGTCGCAGCAACCATTCAAATATGTAGAGTTTAATAATCTTAAACACTCCAGATGCTCTTTCAAACTCCCAAAGGCTTACCCATAAATGTATAGTATCTCATGAGAAATGCATTCTCTGTACACCAGTTCAGCTCTAACAGCAGTGGAAATTAAGAGGGTTTGTTCAAGACACCCACTCACCTTAGTTGAAAGAGAAAAGATGAGAATTTTGTCCCTCTTTTGTAGATAGTATTTAAGTAGCTTCTGCAAAACCTAAAAGAAAAAAAAACAAATGTTTCAGCCACTGACAGAGAGGCAAATGGCAACCTGTGAGACAGTGTGTACCTTCATTTTCCCACTGTACACTGGATCTGACAGGGCTTCAAATGCTTCAGTTTTCAACCGGTGCATAAAGTCTGGAAATTTCTCAAAAACCTTTGCACAAATGGAATTCACATACTTTTCCTTAAAGAAGAAAATGTTTTTATGAGCATCATAACTGCAACCAACAACAAAACCAAAACAGAAAATTGCAATTTTACCTGTTTCTTGCTGATTCCTGGCGTAGACTGAAGCAGAGCTGTATGGTTGGCTACCTTCCTCAAAATGGTCAGGTAGCTAAAGTAGAGATCCTTCATTTGAACACCTTCTGAGGTTGTCTGAAATCAAAATATTAAGCCATTCATATAAACTATTTTAACCCTTGTACACCCTCATGGGGTCATTCATAACCTGGACTCAGGGAAACTGGGGTATAAATGACCCCAGGAGCTGATTCATCTCTGCCCTCAAGGTATCAGCTTATGATTTTTGGATATTCCCATGTTGTGTCTTGAAGAAAAGTCCAAACTTCAAGAAAACTTTAACAGATTGTAAAATATAACAAAGGTGAACAACGGTAGTAGAGGTGGTCTAACTTTATAGCAGCAGCCCCTGCGGGTGGATCCACTGCCACAGTCACATTTCTCTGAAGATCTCAGCAGCAAAGTCACATCCTCAGTGTCCAGCACTGCCTGGTACACAGTCTGCTGGAAGTCCGTCAGAGAGCAGTACACCACCTGAAAGCAACGAGATGATGTTGTGACAAACCGTTATAATGGTAAATTCTGAGTTAGTGTAATGTGTCAGATCTTACCCTGTCATCCTTCTTTGGCAGTTGTTCTGTGATGAGACCTTTAGTTCTCCTTAAAAACCAAGGAGAAATCAGCCTTGCCAGGGCTCGGACCGTCTTCCTCCCTGTGGCCAGGGCACGTTTGGTCGCACTGTGCCTCTGCCCTCGCTCAATCGGATCTGAGAACTTGTTTTTGAAATGTCCTAAGCTGCCAAGAGAACCTGGTCGGGCCCTATGTAGAATAAAACTATTTATTTACACAACCTACAGAAAAACAAACCAGCCTAAAGTTTCTGTGTGCACTGATTTAAATTACAGAACTGCACAGCGATACGTTAGTAAATAAGCAGTTAACTCACCAGTCCATGACACACCACAGTTCCTCTAGGTTGTTCTGTAAGATGGTGCCAGTGAGACCAATTCTGACCTGATGAAAACGTTGCATAACATATCAGCCCAAACGTAAACCCATTGCCATTTTCAAGTGAATAATTTATTCTTAATAAATAGGAAATATGAATCATTCAACACCCAATTCATCTTTACAGAGTCATTCCAAGTCAATTCTTGTAAGAGCTAATGTAGGAGGATTGTAAAGCAGCAGTTCTCTGACCTTACATCTCAGCTCCTTCATGGCCTGCGTGATCTGAGAGCTTGGATTTTTTATTTTGTGGGCCTCGTCCACAACCACAGCGGCCCAGTCTATCCTGCAGAAAGGGCAGGAACACTTTATACATAAAGCACATGACTGATGATGCAGTTGCAAAGACTAATTTTTGACATATTTTAGGATTCATATCAAAACATTTGCAGAAAACACATTATATCCTTTAGGGTATATATCTTGGAGACAGATCACAATCTATTTATGCATTGTCCAGACCAAAGGACACACTATTCATTGTTCAATCATGATCACATGTTGTGGGAATGTTGAGCCACTCTGCCTCTGCTACCAAAAAAGTTGTGTCATGTGCAATACACAAACATCCAGTAACTAAATGTTTATAGGCTCCTGAGCCAGATGACCCTGTTATCTGTTAAAGGGAAATCAAAAGGTTTTTAACTAGCTGCGGGAATTGTGTTTGATCACTTGATCACATACTGGCTGGCGATTGGTTTTGGAGTAAGATGTGTTCTCTGTCGCTTCTGTTATTCTTACCTATTAAACTGATCCAGACAAAGACGAAGAGTTTCATAGGTGGTGAGGGCAATCTCTGTGCGCCCCTTCTTGATGCGTGCTAGCTCTTCCTCTTTCTTCAGACCATGGACCACCACACACTGGAAGTAACCCCACGTGTCCAGTTCGTCTTTCCAGTTGTAAAGCACTGACAGTGGAGCCACAATGAGAAACACCTGGATAACATCATAAAAACACAAAACCCATGTTGATGACAAAACAGTGCTAGGATCTGCTGTACATGACTGAATGTACCCGGTATATGGAAGAAAACATTTTTTCTAGCCAAGTAGTATAATTTGATACCCACTTTGCTGGGGCTACTTTGCTTGGAGGGTAACTGACTCTGCAGAAACTGGGGCCTGTTTTTCTCTATGTCCTCCCATGTGCCTGTTTTGTGCAACACAGCGCCAACAAAACCAATGACCTATGGCAAAATTGTGAATGGAATATAAGACAGTCATGTGAAGAACAAACGCTCACATTTCAACTATTCTTAAATTGGTTTTGCAACTCATGGCCTTCGTACCTGCACAGTTTTTCCAAGGCCCATGTCATCTCCTAGGATACAACCACTGGCTCTGATGTAGTTGTTGTAAATAAACCTGATACCTTCCCTTTGGTAATCCCTAAGGTATCTGTTGATTGTATAAGGGACTCTGTCTTCACCATTCAGCTCTAACGGGATGCAGGGACTTGATTCAATGGTGCCGCCAGAAAATACAGGTTTTTCCTGGGCACTGTGGTTTAAGTCAGGCTTCCTGAGTTTTAAGATGGGTATGGCTTCCTCTTCTTGCCCCTCCTCTTGTCCATCCTTGGTGAATTTCACCCATGCTGTGTCATTATTAGAAGAGGTGGAAGTCAGTCTCTGGATAGAAGCCTCTCTAAGGATGCCATGTCTTGAGCTTGGAGCCAGACAATAGTCACCTTCATGCCATGCGTCTGTAAATACAATTAATCTAGATCACATCACAGTGAGTCATACAAAGAAAGCACTGCTTCCTTCATCAGTGACAAATTAATAACAAGGTAGATAACAGGGATTCCTACATGTTACCCATGGACACACTTTAGTCTATTTGAGTGTAAATATGATCTTTGAGAAAGACATTATGTTTTTTTTCTATTTCTTAAGGACTAAACAAAAAAACAGACCTGTTTTTAAATGCATGGCTGCAAAAAGGTGCTATAGTTTTCCAAGTTTCAGATTATTCACACTAATCTACTGTGACAAGTGGTAGCAAATCTGATCGACTTTAAGGGTAGTTTGGAGTAAAAGGTTTCAATAGCATTCAATTGAGCATTAATTTGAAATAAACAGTAGCAGAATAAACATGGACTTCAAACCTTTGTCAGCAATAGTTGAAGCCATCCGGATGCATCTAGCCCCCTCTCACTGAGGAGGAGAGTAGCTTGCTTGCTAACTCGATTAGCTAAACTAACACGTCCAACGAAGGAAAGTCTGGAGTTGAAACGAGACAGATAACATGAATATAACGCTCAAATAATCCCATTCAGCAGCCTATACTTTTCTCTATAATAATGTTTAGCCCGCACACAACAGAACCAGCCGCAACTTCTCCGCATCTTTCTGCTGTTTATCTAATTTTGCAATCCCAGCCGCACTTTCGATAGAAATATAAAATAACTCAAATTAACGTAAAAGGTTTCTCGAAAAAAATCAATATTGATCTGTTATTTATTATAAATGATAATTCATCGTTACTAACATCTTTTAAATTAGTCTTTTAATATCTTATTAAAATGGTGGAAAGTGCTGGGCACCGTCTGATCTGTATCCATCTGTTACTACTATAGTCTATCATTTTGTTTCTTTGAATATTTTTGCTTTTGCTTACTCTATACTTGTGTAATAAACACATTATATTAAAAATAGTAATATTTGGTGCCATTGGTTTTAATCAAAAGATGTACATAGTGCCTACTACTCTTTTTTTTTTAAAGCTGTTAAATGTGATTTCATGTGATTTTAAAAAAAGGATGACCCAGTCAAGTCTGTATTGATTAAAGTATAAGTACCATGTCAGTAACAAGGTAAAATATAAGGTAAGAGGCAAGGTAAAACAAAAGTATAAAACCAAACGTAAAAACAGAAAGAAATAAACAAAAACTGTGACTGATTATTGATTTTACACAAATAGTGTTGTCCACAGTCACAACATGTTTTGAGCTGCTAATTCAACATGTTAACAAATTAATTAATTATTTTCTGAATGACAAATAACTTCTCAAAGGATGAAATTGCTTCCTCCTTCCTATCATAAATTATCCAAGTTCATAATCAGATCCAAGTCACTACACGTTAGTAATTGTAAAAAAAAATAGAATACACACTTATGAGGGCTGTATACATAAGTACAATGCAAGTGCTGCCTGATAACTAAAAATGACAATTTTACAATTCAATATGACACCATAATTACATCAATAGACTCTAGAATAACATAACCAAGTCCGATTTAACACCTTGTATGGAGAAGTGAGATTAAATCCAAACAAATGGTTGATATGATGGCATTCAGTTCACCCTGAGGCTCTCTCTTTCCATGTTTAACAGACTTGAGAACACCCAGCAGAGCTCTCTCAGTTCTACATCCCTGATTTGACTTTCCCTAAACTCTGTCCATTGCGCTACAGATGAGGCGCGACTGGGTCCGCTTCTCTCCATGGTACACTGACATACAAAAATGGAACTTTTTGTTCCTGCTTTCTCAACACTGGAAATTTATAGGGCAGCTGCCGCAGATGTTCTCATAAAGAAAGCCCAAACACTGATGTCAAACAGTTTACATATTGCACCAGAACTCTCACACACTTGTTCTCTCACTGAACCAAAAGGGCCTTCTCTGGCCTCGATCTCAAAAATGTGTTACCACTGAAGCAAGAGAAAGAGTTGGGATGAATAGATGACTGGCTTCAGATAAGATGCTGTCATATAAACACACGTTTTCACAGATGACTATTTGAACGACAGCGTCAAGTTGATCGTGATGGGTTTTGGTTTTAAGTGCTGGTTTTAAAATTGGAGCAGCATTCTTTTATTTGCTTTACTATTTACAGGCACTTTTATAGGGTTGGTCATATTTGTCACTCCTCCTTCCATCCATTTTCTATACCAGCTTGATCCAGTTTCGGGTCATGGGGGGCCGACCGTGTCAGTTGCCATTGGGTAGAGGTGGAGTACATCCTGCATGGATCTTTTTTTTCTAGGTGACCAACCTTTTTACATCCAGACTAAATGGATGGGACAAAATGTATTTATATATAGATTTATATATATATATATTTTTTCCCACTTAGGTAAGTTACATTTTCCTACTGTATAGGAATCTTGTGTTTAGTGATAAATGCAAAAAGTTTGGAACATTATAAAGAATTATCTTGTTTTTGTATCATATTTCTTCCCTGCAGAATATATAAATATATATATATATATACATATATACATATTATGTATAATAGATATTCTTATTTTTTTTAGAAATAGTCAAATATATTTTAGTTTTCCAAAGAGTAGTCGATAGGTATTCAGACTTAAATAAGACCTTGCATACTTCTTTTGCTCTGCATCTCATTTAACCGATTACACCAGACATTATTAGGTCCATATGAGGTTTAATTAAACTAATGTGTCAACCCCTACCATAAGTGCAGAAGTATTTACTCCTTTTGGATGTGAGATAATGAGAAAATGAAAAAAAAAGCTCTTGTCAAACATACTCTTATAAAGTTTTTCCTAACATTTAAGTCCGTTTGTGATTTTGGTGATCAGTCGAAAGATTTTTCTACTTTCTTGTTTTTCAGAAACCCACCTGTAATGACACCTTCTGGCTAAAGAGTTTCCTGCAGCTGTAGTTTTTCCATTTCATCCAGATTCATTTGGCTGAATAAAAGTTTAAATTGAATAAAATACAAATACTGTTCAAAATCAGTGGTTGAAGGAAAATAACTTGAATGAAAGTTCTGTCTTTTTCTCAAGACCTTTGGAAACACTCTTTTCTTTCATGACTCAGAGGATCCTCCACGGGCCAAAAGCAATTACAAGCTTGCCAAAACTGACAGTTTCAGCTTCATAAGCATTGATTGCACAGATGGAAAATTAGCTTGATTATTCATGCTGCTCTTTTGTGTTCATTTCTCTTTTCCCTCTTGCCTATTCACTTTCACAGTTCCTACAATATTCATTCATGGGTTTTTTGTGTGTGTGTGGGTGTGTGTGTGAGTTAACCAATAGGAAATGATCACTTTAAATAAAGCAAAACTAGAGAAGCATGCAAATATCAAAACTATGTTTCAGATATATTTTGAATTATACTGACGTTTGTTTTTTAAATATTCTACTACTTTAATTTCCGACTCAATTTATCTCACTCTTGATATCAACAGGCCATACATCTATGCAGCTGCCACAATCTTGCCTGTCAATCTCTTTTACCTCTTTATCCTGCTCTTGCACACATTTCTGGGACTTCTCTATAAATAAACTCGCAGATCTGTACTGACACATGGGGATGTATACCAAGGAGTTCCTTCTTGGAACAAGTAGTAATGGAAAGTAACAGTGTTCAAAAGAGCAATGTCTTACTTTGAAAGGCTGTTGGATGGCAAGGAATGATATCCTGAAGAGTGGCTAGTAACCATCTTTCTGCTACTTTAAGGCCAAGGCCACCTTGAGGAATCCAAAATTAACCAACGGATCCTCAGACAGGATGGTGTTGATAAGGTGCCATTATATGAAATCCAAATACAGGGCACGCAAGAAAAAAGAACAGAGGAGCAGAATGAATATTATCCTAAATTTAAAAATGTAATGTGTATATACATACATTCATTAACTCTCTCTTGCTGACTGATGAGACACAAATTGCAAAAATCAGGACAGAGTACACAATTACAGAGACAGAACGGCAAATAACATGACAAAATAAACATATGAGTGGGGAAGTCTCAAGCTAAAACATGAAGTAAAGAAAATCAAAAGGGCGAAAGGCTTAAAATGCAGAAAACATTCTGCTTGTATCTGTTATATTTTGAGAGTGGGAAGTAGAGAGGTAAAGAAGTTTTACCTCTCTAATGTGTGATTGCTGTTGCAAAAAGGAGCATTTTCACAAAAACTATTTACACCCTCATAAACCTAAATGTAAAAAGGTTTTAAACTTCCTGTCAAATCACTTGAGCTAAAGCACCGTGATTATAAGATCCTGTGTTTTATTCCTCAGCTGTTACGTTCCAAATAAGCAGAATGGCAGTTGTTAAAAGTTTCTGCTTAGAAAGATCCAGGTGTACATCACTATTAGGCATGTTACAAATTATACTCAGCGGTACCCTGTGAAGCTTTGCATATGTCAAACATTGGTGTAAGAATGTTCCCCATACAAAGGGGATGCCATTATTTTTAGGAAAAATTAAAAAGCACTAACGTACTGAAAGATTATCCAACTGGTCCCTCCCTGAATCCTCTCGCTTTCATTCACTCTCCCCAAAGTACTGATGATAAAATTCCTTCCAAACATCACAGTGCTCTACAACCTACGTAAAATCCCCAGATGACCTGAATTTGATGGCTTGTCCCTTTTGTACTGCAGTGAAATGGAAAACTGTGCTGGGCAATGCATTTACAATCAAACTGCCTCTCATTACGCTGCAACCCCATAGAGGAGCCTTTTGTTTGTCCAAATTGACCACACTAAGCACATCAACCAGAAAGCATAACTGACAGTGGCAGCTGTGCATGGTTGTGCATGAGTATACAATGTGTTCATCCCTGAATTTGTGTAGTTTCTCTCTTTCCGTCAAAAGGCTCTGCAGGCTATCTAAAACAGCTGATCTGTTGGCTGTCAACGAGAAAGTTGAACCAGTGGAAAGAACAGAAAGAAGGAAGGTGATTTAATTCACCTCCTGCCAGGCATGCTGGACTGGCACAAAGGGTTTGATCTCTCAGCGGAATACCTGGCTAGTGGACAACATCTCTCCCCCCTCTTCTTCTTTTTTTGAAACCTCCCCTAGCCCAACATGAACACTGACTGGGACTCAAAGAACTGCATGACTGCACGTCTCAACAATGAGGCCACACAAAAGTACCAGCTCAGCAGAACTGGACATCCACTGCTGAGGCATTTCATCATGCAATTATATTCCCTTCTGCTCACCTATTCATAGTTAGGACCAGAGAGTACAACAGGGGATCTGTAGCAGTCTCCTCAGAATGTGTGGAACTACGAATTTGTTGGTGTTTCCATTGGCAGAATTGTGTTTGCTTGTTAAAAGTGTGGGTAAGGTGTGCATATATAGATGAGGGATAACTTCTCAAGTCCATGCAGTAGGCTATCCATGCTAAGTTTAAATGACACAGAGTGGAGACAAAATCAGAGGACAGCTTAAGGCTGAATATATGATAGTCATGTTTTTTTCTTCTTTTTACCACCGGAACGGCGGTGTGTAATACCCTTATGCGAATGTGTTTGCATATTTGTCTCAGTGTTTTATGGCATGTTATCCGGTGGGGAACCTTCCTGCTGAGAGCTAGGCCATGCGTCCATGCATGTAGCGCACACTCATTCACCATATGGG